GCATGTTTGGGAAGTGATTAAATTATAATCTAAGCTAGTCAAACATACTTTTTATTACACATTTCATAGACTCCACAACTACTACTCCTCATTATCTTCAAATTTCAAAGGTCCTACAACTTATAATCACTTCCCAAATATGCACTAAAGGCAAGTTTCACTTTCTTTTAAGCTTAGCCAAAGCAATGAGCTTATTCATGTGTTAGTTAACTTGGTGTTTATTCATGATAAATAATGGAAGAACTGATTAATATGTTTTGGAACATTCTGAGAAGGCTGCTAAATGCACCATTCAAGAGGAATGAAAGTAACATTTATTGTACGAAGGAGGCAATTAAAGAAGGTTTTAGCTTTGGTGATGCAACTCTGGAGATAGCCTTTGAAAGAACTGAGTGAAAGAGGAGGATCCATGCAGCTAGGTGGAGATAAGCACAGGATAAGGCTTTGTTGAGATGACCTATCAATGATCATCCACCAACCAGCCTTTGCTAAAGTTCTCGTCCTCTTTCCCTAACCTCTTATCCAACAGATAGCCCATGCTTTACGGCCATGTTATAGGAAGACAATTCTCTTGCTCTAGTGTTCATCAATCTTGACATCATTAAGCTCCAGGCCAGATGATACACGTGTAGTTTCTGAAGCTTTCATTGCACGGTCATAATCTATTGACAACAGATATTAAAGGGTCTCCAAAAGTAAATTAATAAGTATTGACTGATCAATCTCCTTACTTGCAATCAATGTCATAATAGAAATGCGATTTCATTACTTTTTCGGTATTCCATTGTCTAGGTATTCCTGCACATGCTGGCATGTAGTCGTCAGTTGTAATTATGTGAATGATAGGTTGAGTAGCCACACGTCTGAAAGTCAATAGACGATTGAGAGAAGAATTTTGTCATCATATTGGTTATATGAATTCTTACACAATTGTGGTCAATAGTCATTCGCTAACGTCGGACCATGTGTTCCACCTCTGCAAATTCTTCAGTTTATCTGATAATTGACTTTGTTGTAGTGCGTTTATTTTTCCACCTCTGCATGTATAATTCTTAGTTTGTATCTTAATTCTAGCTATCATTTAATTTATTTATTACTCTGCAGGGTTCTCAAGTTCAATTTCCCACTCCCGATGAATGTATATACCCAGCGAGTCCTGCCCTGGGCCTTGGGTTAACTGCAGCTCTAGCTCTCTTGATGGCGCAAATCATCATCAATGCTGCAACTGGGTGTATATGTTGTAGAAAAGGCCTCCGTCGATCAAACTCTAATTGGACGCTAGCACTTATCTGCTTTGTTGTTTCCTGGTAATGTTTTCATGAACATTTGGCCTCTGTTCGGGATTTATGTTCTATTTTATTTTTCTTTTTTTGCTAAAAAGTTGCTTTTTAAGAAATGAGCGTTGGATAAGTGGGTAGTTCTAGTAGGTCTTACAATCGTGTGATTAAAACAAAAGTTTGGCTTTGAAAAGTAACTTTCTAGTTAGAAAAAATGAAACCCAATCAGAGGCTTGTTTCCAATGTAATGTTCCTATACTGACTGACTTGAGACAATAAAGCATGCTTCAGTGATAAATTAGCCTTTCACTGGATGATAATGGGCATTTGACTTTCCAATCTTTAGATGAAAATAATAAGGGATGTTAGACATTTATTTTCCATTCAAATCCTCCATGTATGCTTCAATTGTCTATCATTCAGCAATTGAAGTCATTGGCTAATCATAGTTTCCGCATCATAGTACTTTCATGTATCTCTGTGGATTACCATTTATCACTTTACGCTAGCAGGTCTACTCTGCACTATAGGTCATGTCCACCATTTCCTGTTGGAAACCTCATCTCGTGTGGCGCTTTATAATGACAAATTGTTCATCCCTTGGAACTATCAATGACTAGAAATGTATTTTATAGGTTCAGTTATTATATCTAGGGTCAAATATAAGATACAAGTTAACCTTGTTGCTATGAATTGACGCAAGTATATAAAGAAAAGATTTTTACAGGTTCATGTTTTATTTATTTATTATTTATTTTTGCTTGTTTAGCCCATGTTTGAGCTCCATTTTTTGAAAACTCATTTTTTCTCAACATCATTTTCAACCATACATTCTTCTAATAAAATAATTTCACACATTCTCCAAAAAATTACTATTACAAAATCTATTTTTACAAAAAAAGGGGCTTAAAACAAGGTTTTAAGGTTGCTTTGACGTTTCAAAGATTTGGCATTGTGCGGCTTGGAGAGTGAAAAATGTTGCTGATACCATATTATGCAGGTTCACATTCGTGATAGCATTCCTTCTGTTGCTGACGGGTGCAGCGCTGAATAATCAACATGGTGAAGAGAACTTGTACTTTGGCAACTATTACTGTTATGTTGTAAAGCCTGGTGTTTTTGCTGGAGCTGCTGTCTTGTCCCTTGCAAGTATCATTCTTGGAATCATCTACTATTTAGCCTTGACTAGCGAAAAGAACACAGGTGATCATCCATTGAATGGACAAGGTGGCATTGCTATGGCACAACCTCAAATTCCACCACAAAATGCTCCGAACCCTGTTTTTGTGCATGAAGATACTTATATGAGGCGGCAGCTCGTGTAAACACTTCTTTTCTTTTTGTCTATAATCTTGTTTTGGTTGGTCAGTAACAAATAGTACTTGGATATGTAATGGCAGACTTTCTCGCTTTGTTAGCTAGATCATTTTGAATTGGTTTTAACTTCAATTTTTTCCCCGCCCCCTCTTCTTTTTGGACATTCTATCCAGACTTGGGTTCGGATTACATGGTCGTCCTAGTTTGAACCCATTAAAATAGTACGTCACTGTTCTGTTAACTTGTGGGATCATAGTTGTCAGACACTGACCCAGACACTGACTCGAATAATGTAACGGGTCAGTGGTTCGACGAACCACTGATCCGGTAGTTGGACCGGTGTGTCAATTCTTGTTAAATATATTATT